GTTATGCTTCTACTTTTAGCCAATGTAAAAAGTGAAGTGAAAGCATATTGATAGGCTGCACATCAGCCTTGTTGGGCAGCTGTAAATGTGGTCAGCTATAAGACTATTGAACCTTAAACCTTAAGTTGCAACGTTGTGATGATGTATTAGCTCTGTGTACTCACTCGGTAAACAGCAGTCTTGTACTTTTAAAGTCCTATCATCTGTAGTACAGCACGTGGACTGTAAAATATTTAAAGTTTTAAAGCTGAACCCACACTTTCCTCAGGACAAACTAAAAGGAATACAACAGTTATTGGTGGGTTGCTGACGCAGTCAATCAAATCGCTCCACTTACCTTTTCTACAACATAGAAGGTTGAATGAAAATATTCTTTTTAAATATAGAAAATACTTCACGCTGAGACTTTAGGGGCTTTAAAACAAATGTAAGCCATACATAATTTTAACTTAAATTTGTTTAAAAAAAATATTTAAACAGGATCTTTTTAAATTAGCTATCAAACAAAAATACATTCTGAGTTGGACTTTTTACAGGTTAAAAATAAGCCTGGCAGTGCCCTCTGGTGGACAGAGTGTGACTGGCGTTGACTATGATCTCTTCTTTGGCATTTCTTGTCATTTTTTTCAAACCTGCGGTGACACTGCTGATATTAGCCTTAGTGGATTTTTAAGGGTCATGTTTAGGAATAAGAAAAGATTCCAATATTGATATACTGGTCAATATTTGTTTAATATAAATATACACATATAAATTCTTTATGTTAGTTACATTACAAAAGGGACAATAACGGGTGTCGTTTTTTGTTTTGCTTCGCTTTAATTATCCAGCAATGTATTTCTCAAACTAGTTTCTACTCTGCTACATGTACTGGGAGTATTGTATGGAATGGATGTTGGAGCACACTCTCCTGCAAAAACTCTAAATTAAATTTCTGCATCGATATTTGGTAAAATAAATTTGGGGGAAGATATACAGCAATCAGCCACCTGCAGCAGGTCAAGCTCTAGCTAATCTAAGTAAGCAGTGATAGGCTAGCAATGACATCCACCGAAAGGTATGGGTAGGAATGAAGTCGAAGGGACCTGTGGAAACTTATCTTTTTGTATTCATTATTGTACTCGGCATTTGGTGCAAACTGCAAACTCTGATAGGCCGATAATGACTGTAAACTTCAGCGAGCCCGCTCTAACTAATATTAGGCTATCTAATTAAGTTTGCGCTAAAACCAGCCAGGTTATGGGCAAACCCTGGTTTTTGGAGCTTTTTTCTTTGTGTTTTTTCCCCAATCACCTTATTTTGCAGCCACCAATGGGATAAGAGTTTATCATCTAATCCAATTTTGTTATTTACTTTTATTTTCAGCATGAAGGTTGTTTGTCCTGTCGCCAGTTGCATTCATTACATTATTTCTACCTTCAGTGTACCTGCTGTAACAACACCAAAACAGCTCTGTAATACCTGCAAGTGTTAACACTGCAGTTATTATTTTGTCAAAATATTTAGAATAGAAAGTACTGTAACCCACACAGCTGTATTAATCCCCTGTTCCTTTCCAAATGCAAAAATATAGGCAGTTTTGTTCCTTGCCCTTATATGAAAATATTTTTTTCTCCAGTTGGGCATCTTATTTCTTTTCAATGTACATATTTACAAGGTCACTCCTGAAAAAAAAAATGGTGAAAACCAGTAGTTTTTCCTGCCTCCAGCGCTTATAGCTTATCTGTTTATAATTTCCTGAGCAACGATGGACTGCTAAGAGGTGTCTCGGGATATCCAGCCACTTTCTGTGAGGAAGGTGAGAATGCGCTTCTTAAGAACCTTATCCAGGTAGCTGGGCATTCGGCTCTTGGCGGGAATGCCCTGCCTTTTCTGCAGGTGATCTTTGATGATGATGGTTTTGACAGTCAGGTAGCGTGCCGGGCTGAGGTTGAGAGAGTTGCACAGCACCTTCTCCCTGTCTGACAGCAGCTCGAAGCCTGTCAGATTCTCAATGGCAGCGAACTCACCATCTTTGCCCTCTTCTTTGATCCCACCTCCAACCCCTAGTCCTCCAGCAACGCCTCCTCCTCCTCCAGCTCCACCCCCGAGCCCCATCCCAGAACCAAGCCCTCCTCCTCCCGAGCTGCCCCGCTTTGAGGTGACCACACTTTTGTTCTCCTTGCGTTTCTCCCGTTTGTGGCGTGCTGCTTCGTATTCCGCAGACTCCTCCAGGCGTGTGATGCCGTTTCGGCGGTAGCGCTGGAGCTCGCGCACCTTGGCCCTCAGCACTCGCTCTTTATGCATGTTCTCAAAGAACTCTTCAAACTCCCGATGGGCCATGAACTGGCAAAGCGCTCGCAGCCTCACCCGCTGCTCCTTCTCTTCCTTGGTGATTTTTCTTTTAGGTGTACTTGGGAGAGGACCTGCTCCCGATGCCGTCATGGATCCTGATCCGACTGCACCACCACCAGCCCCTGTCCCACTCATGCCAGCTGCACTTCCTATGACTCCCAACATCCCTGTTTTGTCCTTCTCCTTGTCCTTCTTATCTCGGCCCAAAAATGAAGGCACCAGGTTGTAGTCACGAGCGATGTTCTTACGCCGCTGGCGTTCTCTGAGCTTACGCACATACATGTCCACATGGGCGCGCTTCATTTCAATTTCCACGTCCTCATCATCGTAGTTGACACACAGTCCACTGATGAGCTTCTCCGCGTCCTGGTCATACTCAATCTCATAGTCGTCACGTAGTGGCATGTAGCCCAGCTGCTGTTGCTCCACCAAGCTGATATCCAGCGGAGGGAGCGGAGTGGTCAGGCTGGGCGACAGGGGCCCTCCGCTCGGGCAGGTGTGGTCGGTCACCCGGTTTGGAATACTGTCAGGGATACAGGCCTTCCCCAGGTTTCCATGGATGTACATGGTGACATAATGTTCCATAACTTCCTGAGGAGTCCGGGATGCTCCAACATGATCGGCCATGTCCTCCTGAAAGGTCACAAAAAGGAAGTTGTTACTAAGAGGACACCTACACCATTATATTTTTTCTATGTTATACTAGAAGATGAAAAAGTGATGCTCAAACAATCTGCTTAGCTGTTCAAGAGAAAATGGTTTAGAATGCTCATCATTGATATTTAAATATTCATATTTTCTGCTTTTCAATTTTGGGTTATTTCACCATGAAATATTTGAAAATGTACATTTTCTGATGCATTATAGGGGTGCATAATTTTATCTAAAAACTTCCAAGTAAGTCAAACTTAATATAATTTATTTTACACAGACAAATATTCTAATATGCTACACATAAGCCATATGCACTTTGTAATTGACTGTAAATGGGGCTTTGGAGGTGAAGTGTAACTGGTCCACATATACTTAAGAGGAGTCTGTACATTAACAGATGTCTGTGCATTTTTTCTGATTTTACACTTGAGTAAATTAAACATCACTTGGTGGTGGTTGGTTTGTACAACAAGATAACTGCATATCTGTAACATGTCCAGCAAAACTTTCGTGACACTATTCCACTCTTAAATGTTAGCCTTGGTTTTTGGCCCTTTGACCCCTGGGATAGGCTTCAACCCTCTCCTGACCTTGAGATGGATAAGTTGATAACAAAATAGATTGATACGCTTTTGCATTATGAAAAATGAGATTTAATTACAGTTACATTACTTTGCTTTTTGTGTTTACACAGAACTATTCTTTATTTTCCCTTTCCTTGTCTTCTGACTTTGTTTCAGGGGGCGCTAAAGCAGATCTTCCGCCTCCATCTCCCCCTCTCCCTATAGTCACACCAACCCTCTGCATACCTTCCATCACTACATCCACAAGCATCTCTGTGGTCTTTCTTGTGCTGTTTTCTTTTTTTTTGTGCTAATAGAGTAGGCACTAAAAAGCACTGTGACTCAAGGATTCGTGGGATATTATGGAAAAAATGTAACATTTGTGTATATTCCATTAGTCCGATATCAAAATAGTTGGTCTTTGGTACACATTTAATTCAGAGGTTGATACACTTTACATGTTTCTTTAATATGCTGCATTGTAACACAAGTTTCAGGTTAGGTTTCAGTTAATAAGGAGTTAATTACTACTTACTACATAACAATATAGTTTTTCCTTACTTATTTGCTTCCTGTTTTGCCCCTTGTTGTTTTGTGACTCGGAGCAATACAATTATTGAGTGATAATTACGATTATTTTTCCTTTTTATGCGACGTGTTGTTGACATTCCACGTTTCTTAAAGTAAATTGTAACACTATTCTCAAATCTATTTTATTCAGGCTTTTCTTCTGTTTTTAACGTCTCGAAAATTATGTAAAACGATAACAACGAAAATAAGAAGAAAAAAAAAATCTTTTTTTATCTTAAAGGTCATTAGCGTTATTCTTATATTACCGCTACAAGCCCACTGCTCTTGTTTTTTCTTTTCTTTTCTAAGCACTAGACACAACGCAACTCCTATGAGTTTGTATAGAAAGCTCTAAAGGTCAGAAAAATAACTTAAAAAGTGATGTACCCAGTTTCCAAATCCATACTGCTCGATAGCATCGAGTAGCGACTGCTCTTCCCTGCTGGTCCACCCTCCTTCTGCCTCTGTACCCCAGAGAGAGAACCGACCGCCGTCGACCTGCTGGTAGCCGTGCCATCTCCGGTGATTACCGATTTCGGCGCCCGCTGAGAAGCACTCTGGGCACAGCTCGATATCAGGGCACTCGGTGCAGCGAAGCCGCAGGTTTGTAACATCTGCAAGGCAGTTAACGCAGTACTTCTTCCCCAAGTCGGCCATCTTGCCTGGCGTCTGCTTCTTGTTGTTGGAGGCAAACCTTCGCGCCTGCGTACAGCGAGCCTCGCAGCGCGAGCTACTCACATCCTGCTTATAAATATTAATGAGAATGGGTCAGGGCTCCTGTGATTGGCTCTTCTGCTTAGTTTCCAGGACAACCGAAACAAAACGAACAGTTTCATTGACCACAGAACTGCACGAGCCTTACCTCTGTATACAAAGTAAATATTATTAAAAATGGACAAAGAGGCGGGAGAGGGAGAAAATAAGGTAAGAATTCACAGTGACAGAGACACAGAGGAGAATTTTATTACTGTTAGTGGGGATAAAAATGAAGCAGTCTCAGCTGAAATGCCCACATCAGACCCTGAAGAAAAGCACTGTGACAGCGGGAAAGTCACAGAAGAGTTCTCTGCTGAAGAGGCCGCCACTTTTGAACCAGAAGCCAAAAGTGAAGATGAGCTCTGCACTGAGTTTGATGTGATGATTAAAGTCAAAGAACAGCCACTGTGCCACGAAGAAAGTGTGGTTTCTGAGATGAACAGCACTTACCACGATGACGCTCTGAAGCTACATCCTGAGACTCAGGACACGGAGATCTCCAGCCCTCTACACCACGAAGATGAAGAGGCTGAAAAAGAGGGAGCCACATCTGCATGTGCACAAAAACTAAACATAAAGTACAAAGAATATAGACAGCTCCTCCAGGAGGTGTGCAACGAGCGAGATAAGGCCAGGCATAACAGCAGCCAGCTGCAGATGAAACTGGCACAATACTTCAAGAAGGCTGGGGACAGTGTCCAGCTGGAGGGTGAGAAGCCTGTGTCAGAGCACCTGCAGGAGTACGAGAGGTACATCAACACCCTGACTGACCTGAAGCAGCAGCTCCGTGCTGAATCAGAGGCAGCCCAGCGTCAGGCAGAGGACCTGAGGCTACAGTCCCAGGAGCAGCTGGGCAAGGTTGGTGTTGTTTTAAGGGATTGTGTTTTTTACATTAAAGCACAGTTTTACATCCCATATTCACATCTGCAGTAGCACAATAACAATTAAACTTCCAGTCTATTAAAGCTTCAGTCTCTCTCGGTATCTGGTAGGTCATAGATGATGTGATTTATTGTTGTTTGGTTTAACTCCAATGTTCATAAAAACTGAAAGAAATCAGATGGGTCTGATTTCATTAAAAATTCTGTCTCTGTTTTTTTATGCTTTCAGACAGAATCCTTTTCGACTACTATTCAACAGGTCAAGTGTCGTTTACTAATCAGTAGTTGTTTCACACTTCATTGTTCCCCACTCAATCTTTATCTGCATCCCACTTCTGTTACCAGTGTTGGGCCTGGAGGGGGCAAATACTGGCTATAATTTAGTGGAAATTTACTGAAAGCCCCAATCAGAACCTTTAGATACATCTGCATCTAAAGGACAAAGGTCACTCTTTCAAGGATGCTACTGTTTACATTTTGGTTCTAAAGAGGAGTGAAAGAAATCATCTGTGTCCAACTGTTATTAACAACCCTCTTTGAACAGAGGAGGTGGCTTACGACTCCAACTGTTTGCCATCTATAATCCATTTTTGAGATACCTTCCCAAGCACCACATGATAGTTTGAGGTAATATCTCCCAATGGTTTCATCCAAACCTCTGCAGATATCACACACACCCGTTTTCACACCTTAGCTCATGTGGTGAGCCACATAATCAAGGGCTTAAATACTTCTGACTCTCCATCTTTGATCTTAGAACTCAAGAAGCTTATCGAATGATCGAATCATCTTCAACAAACTTAAAGAAGTCCAGTCGCTTTTTTAGTCGCAAGCACTTGACAGTTGGAAAGAAACACACTCCGCCCTAAAGCGGGTTTTATAACTTCTGCCTTCATGACTCTACTGGTGTTGCTGTGGCATAACTTTTGTCATCGGACAGGACGCACAGGTAACCTTGACTCCGAATCGTAACCCTTAAACAAGCCAGAAGGATTGTAAAAAACTGAAACCTTTAACCTTTCATCAATCAGGTGGTCTAAAAATTGCTAAGACTTTAATCACTCACTCCTGTTGCTTGTAAGTTGGATTTTCCAGAAAGCTGGATTCTGTCTGTTCTGCAAAGACACATTTTCAACAGGCACATTTAGGTCCACTTTTAAAAATAACAACAATGTGATATAAAGTGTTTATGTGACTAAATACATTGTAGATTTAAAAGAAAAAGAAAAAAACTTTAGTTAACTGAAGAAAGCCACAGTTTCTGTCAGGAACTGGAGTTTCATTTTACACTTTAAATGTAAATCCTAAAAAAATCAAAAAACAAAAAACGCTGATTGCCATGGAGGCATTATTTTACATGTCTTTGAACCTACTTTAGGCTCCATCACTGACTTGATGACTTGTTTAACAGCTTCACACTTCTTTGTTTGGACACCAAACCCACAACACCTTTTAGGAAGAAACTTGTTATGTAAATTATGATTCACAGTCTACACCATAAGGCCTCTTCTTACAGGCCAAACAGAACAATAGCTGCACTTATTACAGTTCCGAGAGATCAAAGTCATTTATTTTCCATGAGATTAGATTTGCTACAACTTTACTGCCATTGTTGAGAGTAGATGTGCAGAGAAAGCTGCTTCTTTCTGAAATCTTCAGTCATTCCTCAGCCTGTATTTAAAAAGGAGCCTAAATTACAACAACAGAGGATTAATTAAATCGATGATCTTTTGTCACCTGAAATTGATGTACTTAAGGTACAAGAAAGAAGAGCCAAAAACATTTTCAGTTGCTCACAAATATGAGCACAGTTCTGCCCCCGTTCTTGCTGTTCACAGTAACACCCACTGCAATGTATCTGCAAGATAGGCGGACAAATGAGGAAAAGAGAGCAGCTTTGATTCTGTCTTCACAGGGGCACACTTATCTTTTCTTGAGACTGTTTTTAATGTAGCCTATACAGGCTCCTGTTCATTAGTGTTGTCCTTAATTTTAAATATGAATTCAATGTTAAAAGCACAAACAAAAGTAAGTAGATTTTAAAATCACAGTTTTGATATGGCAAAATTTTCCAGTTTCCAGTCATTGTGGATCAAAATGATTGAAAGACTTACAACCCTAATTAAGTTGATAACACTTACAATTGTGTTATTTTTGTAATTGTGTGTGTTGGAGAATTCTGTCCACAACAAAAATACGACTTTAATGGAATGAGTACAGTGCTCTGTAAGGGCAAAAGGTGATATATTTCAGTTCAGCAGTCCGATTAGCTGCATTTGAACCTGAAATCCATCTATTTGTTTGTTTGTGTTTGTTGGCTTCAATTTCACTTCAAACATGGGTGAACTAGACACACAGACGTTAGCACAGTACATGCATGAAACAGTAAATCATTTTTTATGTATTCATTTTCTTATCATTATTTTTGCATGTTTAGAAAAAGGGAAAAGCTTTTATATGATACCTCAGTCTCTGCAGGGAAAATTGGCACAAGTGAGCCACACATGCACACTTGCAGGGAAGCTGGATGGATGTGCAGTGCATACTGAACTGTGCAGACACAGTGGAAGCTGTGGAAGATGCACAAAGACCGTTTGTTAAATATAACTTGAAACTAAGTAAAAATCTGCTGTCATTTTAATAAAAAATACACTGAAAATACAGTGACTGTACATATAGCCCTGTTATTAAAATTATTTAGCAAACTGTTAATGCACTCAAAAACGGTCTCATCTTCATCCTCAGGTGGAAGATGAATGGCGAGCACTGATGGCACTGAAACAGGATACAGCTGTGAAGATGCTAAGCAGACGCCAGGGTAAAGAAGCAGCTCGGGCCAAAGTGGAGGCGTCTCTGCGAGCTGAACAGCTTCGGCAGGATGAGCTGATCAAACTGCGGCTGAAGCACATCAAGTTGAATATGAAGATTTGCAAGCTGGAGGCAGAGCTCCGCCGTGGGGAGGAACATGACAGGGACCCCATACAGATCCAGTTTGAGCAGCTGCAGGCTGAGAAGCTAGAGCAGAAAAAACAAGCCGAAAAGCAGCACGAGGGATCAGTAAAGCTGCAGAAGAAGATCAGCAGTAGCTTGGAGGTATGCTGACAAATCCATGGATACAGATTGCTTCTAATTTCTTTCATTATGAGCAATAGCAGTGATATTTGTTGTCTCTCTTGTATCAGTGCCTGTCACATATAAAGGAGAAGCTGCGCTGGTGCCAGATGGAGGTCAAGGTGAAGAGAGAGCAACTGACTGAGGTGGAGGCCGTGGTGGCTGGGAAGAGGGACCACCTAACCAGGGTCAAGCAAGAAAACAGTCGCCTGCACAGACAAAACCTGAGGTTGAAGGAGCAGCGTGGGCTGCTGGGCAACAGGGTCCTGCTGCAGGACTTTGAGGATACTGTGAATGCCTCTGACCAACTGGAGGAACAACTAGAACATCTGAAGTGCCGGCAAGCCGAGATCCTCTTCAGCTGTGGCGGGTGGAAGAGTCAATAATGACTAAAACTTTATCTCAGGTTTCAAAAAGCTATGAAAAAAATGAGAAAAGAACACATGTAGCTGACAAGGAGCTACCAGGAATGAGAACGAGCACTAGCCTTTACAGTTTGATTCAGTGTAGTGTCTCACTGTAAACTAAGCCTGCGTGCAGTAAAACTTGGAAAACCATAATCTGGATAAGAAGTCATGGTCGGAATTCCATGCATCCTCTCATACAAGATTATCATCTTAGATAAGGTGACTCAGACATGTTGAATGCAATCTTAAAAACATTGATAGAAATAAAGATACATTTTTGTGCAGTTTTTGTATTTTAATATGAAAATGTACTTTTTTTTTACCAGAAGGTTTTAGTGTATTTGTCCTGTAGTAAAAAGAAAAATAATTAAATTTAATTTAATTTTACAAAGAAAACGTAGTAGCGGTTACAGTTTTTTCTGATTGCTTAAGCACATTTTTTGTAACTATTGGCTAATTTTGCAAAACTCTTCACACAAATAAGAAAACCTGTCACCCAATCATCAAAACATTGTAGTTCTCTTGCAAAAGCAAACACAGCTGGATTAACTCTTCACACCTTCGTAAAAATGGTGTTTCCGTATCAAACAGTACACACAAGCCATCATCTACTAAGCACACAATGCGCCAACTGCACACTGATGGTATGAATACAAAACACATCTGGCCTTTGCTTTCTCTGTGCACAAGGTAGGCTATGTCAGTTTGAGCTCATACTTCTGTCATAGATCCATAAGCATAGAGGGATCCAAACTTCAAGTACTGGTGTTTATTCAAACACATCAAAACAAACACAAGTGTTTATTTCCAAGTATAGGATTATTTGCAATCGCCATAATGACTATATGGGTTACTTGGTCTGCAGTGAACATGCTTCCTCTGCCCCCAGCATCTGGTCATCTAGCAATTCTGTAAAGTAACAATTTCAGTATTTTTACATCAATGGTATTGGTGTGTTTCTCATTGGCATATGGCAGTGCTACAAATCTTTGTGCGAAGTGACTATACTCACCGATTCTCATTTCAAGATGTCCTTATGGTACTTGCTACAGTGTAGCGGCTCGAGTTAGGCTGGACCCGTTGGCCAGCTACCCTCAGGGTCATTCCACGGTTGATTACATGGTCCACTATTGTAGCTCTGATGTCATCAGCAATTCTATTTCTTACTCTTCCTACCCTTCCTCTCCCCCTCCTCATCTTCCTCTCCCCCTCCTCGTCTTCCTCTTGCTCCTCCTTGTCCTTGTCGTCCTCTTCATCCTACTTCTTCACCTCCACGTCCTCTTCCTCGGCCTCCTCTACTTCTCACTCTTTCTGCTCCCTCCATTGTACTCCGCACACACAGCTTACCTGTATTATAGTGCTTAGGCTGATTGCAAAGTGAACTAATTATCTAAAGAAGTTTTCACATGTGAAAGTGTGCCAGACAGTTGGCAAGTTAGTGTTAATGATAGCCATACATGTGTATACTTTTGCTAGGAGTGTGTTGGAAATTTGGTAATTGAGTGTTGTGCAGTGAATTGTGCCTACAGTTTTGCAAAGTGTGTGTTACAAAATTGCAAACTGAGTGCAAAGCAGTTTTTGTGCTTTTAGTTTTGCAAACTCAGTGAGTGGTTTTGCTATAAGTCTGAATAGTTTTAGAGATTGTGCTACAGGAATCACAGTTAGGGTTTAAGCATTCAGAAAAAACTGTAACAGCGTACACTATATTACAGGTACAGAGTAATATAGTACTGTGACTGTTTGTGCCGGGGGACCTCATCCTTGTGAAAGGTACAGAGACACGGTGTTTAGAGAAAATGTGCTTTAGCTGTTCCAATACTCCTGACACATAAGCATCACTGAGTGTTTTCACTTAGGCAGCAGTTGTCCTTCTTTCTTGCATGGGCTGGAGTTTTCTTTAGGTGCCTTTCCAGCTTTGACACATGTCCAGCTGGGATAGCCTCCATTATCATTAATGGAGCTCCAGTGGAGAGCGTGCAGTCCTTCAAGTATCTCGGTGTCAACATCTCCTCAGACCTGACATGGTCTGCCCACATTCAGGTCCAGACCAAAAAGGCTAGGCAGTGCCTGTACAACCTACGACAACTGAGGAAGTTCAGGGTCTCTCCAAAGATCCTCAGGACTTTCTATACAGGTGCTGTGGAGAGATGTGAGAGATTTTGAAGGACCCGTCCCATCTGTTGCTGGGATGGGACAGGTCGCCCGCTCCCCCCCATTATCCTTAAGTGACTGAGACAGGACTCATTACCATATTCTCATATCATCCTGATCCTTCTGGCCTCGCTATAGCACATGACATTTTAACACCCTTCCCACACAATGTGCACAAGATGTAAATTTCCATATTTTATTTTATTTCTATTTATATAATGTACATAACTCACCCACTTGCAACACATAATGTCCTCTTTGTATATACTCATTCACTGTATATAAAGTTCTGTCTTTCTCTTTTTTTCGTTGCACAGTCGAGGAGTGTATCAGGTCACATTTCACTGTGTGTTATACCTGTATAGCCATGCATGTGACAAATAAAGAATCTTGAATCTTAAATCACATTTACTCTGGGCCTTCTTGATGTGATGTGATGTTCTTCTGCTTCCCTGGCCACTGTGTCTGTAGGGATGGTGTTCACTCTATGTTGCAGCGTCCTGGTGACACCCAGTATATGCTTCAGTGGATGAAGAGAGTCAAACATTAAATCCTGATCTGTATGCATAGGTTTACGGTACACATCAACTTTTAAATGTCCCAGATTACTGATGAAAATCTCACAATCTGAGAAGACTAACCTGTCATGTGTTGGTCCACTGAATTAATGTGATCATTGAATTGTGATATGTGGAATCGTTTCTCCCACTGAAAATGCTACACCCAGATGAACAGAATCAACCTTTTAGGAGTGTGGATAAAAGTTTGTTAGGTTGCCAGCTGTGCCACGTTTTGATCTAGTTGCCAAACCTGGAAACCTACAATCCATCAGCCCAAGTGTTTCCTGTATAATCTGTTTATACAGAATAAATATTACAGAAAGACAGTATTTTAGAATAGAATAGAATAGAATTCAACTTTATTGTCATTGCACATGCACAGGTACAGGGCAACAAAATGCAGTTTGCATCCATCCAGAAGTGCTTTAGTGATATAGATATATTACAATATATATTAGCAATAATATAGATATGTGAGTATATTACAGAAATGGGTCTATTATGGAATGTTATAATGTACACGGTATGAAGTATGTTGTGAATATTCTATAACTATAAGTATGTACAGGCTGTAGTGAGTACAAGCTATGTACAGGCTATGAACAGGATATGAACAGGATATAAATATGAAAAACTATACAGAATATGAAATAAATAACTTTACAGAATCTGGGATATACAGCTATACAGAAATGGGAACTATGCAAGTTGTAGGATTAAAGATTATCGAATGTACAGAATGATTATTTACACAGAGCTATACAGTAGTGCAGTTAAGATAAGTGAGGGTGTAGATAGTTTCTACAGAGGCTATATAAAGTGCTAGTGGTTGTGAGTGGTGGTTCAGTCCATGTTATTATTGTGTGTTTGAGGGTACAGTTGTCCATTGTGGGTGTGTGTATGTTCAGTCCATGAGTTTAACGTGGGTCAGATGTCAGGAGGCAGAGTTCAGGAGTCTGACAGCTGTGGGGAAGAAGCTGTTCCGGTACCTGGTGGTCTTAGTCCGGAGGCTCCTGTAGCGCCTCCCAGAGGGCAGGAGGGTGAAGAGTCCATGTGATGGGTGACTGGGGTCTTTGATGATTTTCCCAGCCCTTTTCAGACACCGCTTCCTGTAGATGTCTTTTATGGCAGGAAGTGGTGCTCCGGCGATGCGCTGGGCAGTTTTCACGACCCTCTGCAACCCCTTCCGGTCCGAGGCAGAGCAGTTCCCGTACCAGACTGTTATACAGTTGGTCAGGATGCTCTCGATGGTGCAACGATAGAAGTTCACCAGGATGTCTGAGGACAGGTGGTTCTTCCTCAGAGTCCTCAAGAAGAAGAGGCGCTGGTGAGCCTTCTTGACCAGCTTGGAGCAGTTGGTCGTCCAGGTGAGATCCTCGGAGATGTGGACTCCCAGGAACTTGAAGCTGCTCACACGCTCCACAGCTGTCCCCTTAATGTGGATGGGTGGATGTGGGTCAGCATTCCTCCTGTAGTCCACGATGAGCTCCTTGGTCTTCTCAATGTTAAGCAGCAGGTTGTTTCTGTCGCACCACTCAGCCAGACGATCCACCTCCTCCCTGTAGGCGGCCTCATCGTTGTCACTGATGAGGCCAATCACCGTGGTGTCATCTGCAAACTTAATGATGGTGTTGGAACCATCAGCAGGTCTGCAGTCGTGGGTGAAGAGGGAGTAGAGGAAAGGGCTCATCACACAGCCTTGTGGTACACCGGTGTTCATCGTGATTGTAGATGAGCAGCGGTTATCCAGCCGGACATGTTGGGGGCGGTTGGTCAGGAAGTCCAGTAACCATTTGCAGATGAGGGAACTGATGCCCAGGTCTGTCAGTTTCCTGATGAGTTGTGAGGGGTGGATTGTATTGAATGCTGAACTGAAGTCTATAAACAGCATTCTGGCGTAGGTGTTGTTGTTGTCCAGGTGTGAGAGGACAGAGTGCAGTGCGATGGAGACTGCATCCTCTGTGCTCCTGTTCTGGCGGTATGCGAATTGGTGGGGGTCCAGGGTGGGGGGGAGACAGGATTTGAAGTGTGCTAGGACCAGCTGCTCTAAGCACTTAGTGATGATGGGGGTGAGTGCTACTGGGCGGTAATCATTGAGGCAAGATGGGTTGGAGTTTTTGGGTATCGGGACGATGGAGGTGGATTTGAAGCAGGCATTTTCTGTTCATCAGAACATTTTGTCTCATCAAAATATTATTTGTCAGAAAAATGAAATAAATCCAATGAGTGAAATGGTCTAAAAATTATTTTAGACCATTTTAAATTCATCCATTTGCTTCAGCTTATCCTTTTCAGGGTTGCGGGGGGCACTGGAGCCTATCCCAGCTATCTTAGGGCAAGAGGCAGGGTACACCCTGGACAGGTTGCCAGTCTGTCGCAGGGCTACCACACAGAGACAAACAACCATCCGTACTTACATTCACTCATTCACACTTATGGGCAATTTAGATTTTTCAATTGACCTATCCCCTCTAACTGCATGTC